TTGTGAACTTGCCACCATGAGCTTACACTGGCAGTACTGTACAAACAGCTTAGTAAGGTTCCATAACCTTGGTATATCAGTGTCTCACAGCTGTGTTGGTGTTGACATGTGGTGGTGTCTTGCTGAGTGGCGTTCATTATTGTTGTTGTGTGTTTTTGTGTGCCATTGCAAGAATGTCTGAGCTTGAATTAGAGCAACGAACAAACTGTTAAACTTGTTAAACTTGTTAAACTTGGCAAGAGTGGAAGTGAAATCAGGGACATGTTAGTCCAAGTTTATGGGGATAATGCCATGCAGAAAATGGCAGCGTATAAATGGATTAAACGTTTTTCTGAGGGGAGAGAATGCATCACTGATGAAGAGAGGTCGGCCAGTAACGGGCAGAACTGATGAAAACATTGCAAAAGTTCATCAAATTGTGCATCAAAATCATCAGCTGGCTGTGAGAAGCATAGTGAACCAAGTACACATCGATAGAGAAACAGTTAGGAAAATCTTAACTGAAAATCTTGGCAAGAGAAAGGTGTGTGCAAAAATGGTCCCGAGGGAGCTCACCGATGAACAAAAGCAAAGGAAAGCCAAAGTTTGCCAAGACCTTTTGGAGAGGCAAGATGATGTTTTGGACAATCTTATCACTGGTGAAGAAACATGGGCGTACCAATGCGACCCTGAAACAAAGCATCAGAGTGCACAATTTTTGGCCAATTCTCCATGACAAAAAAGTTCTGTCAGTCCAAATCAAGAGTCAAAATGATGTTGCTAACCTTTTTGTTTTTATAAAGATTTTATTGGGGAATTGGGGAAGGGGAACAGCCAGTTGTTGTCCTTCAATCTTAGGTGTGGGGTGGGCACAGCTAGTTCAGCTCCGAGTCCAGTTGCCATCTGGCCACCCATTAGCAGCTTGCGGCTGCTCGGCTCAAGGTGCCGTGTTCAATCTTAGTTCCAGGTGGCTGTAGCCCGCCATCCAGTGCAGTAGTGGAACCAGCAACCTTTTTGTTAAGAGCACGTGTCCTCATCAGCTGAGCCATCCTGCCACCTGTTGGCAGCTCAGCGGCAGCTCAGCTTGAGTGCAGCTCCTTGGCCCATGTGGGAATTGAACTGGCAACCCTGTTGCTCAGAGCATGCGCTCTAACCAACTAAGCCACCCAGCCGCCCCCCTTTTGGCTATTTTGAATAGTGCTATATGAACATATGTGTACAAGTGTTTGTTTGGACAACTTTTCAACTTTTTGGGGTATATACCTAGGAATGGAATTGCTGGGTCTTATATATGGTAATTCTGTTTAACATACTACCCTTACATAATACTTTTTTGATCAGTATTTCCCAAAGTGTGGGACAATGCCAGGGAGCTCACTAATAACATTTAATATCAATCATTTTTTTTAACTTCAGTCCCTCTGATTAAATCATGGAGAGTCTCAATTTGGTATTAGTATGGCTTTCAAACATTTTACCAACTATGTTAATTTCCCTTTTAACAAATACAAAGCGGCCTGACGCTTATACCCTTTGGCATATGATAATATCTAGCTGGAATTGAGTATTTTTCATTGTATTTCCTTTTATTGTTACATTTTATTTTTATAGCAAGTGATACTGATTTCACATGTACAGTAGTGAAAATTTGCTTTTTATGTGAATGCATGCAATATAAAGGTGGTACACAGGATTTGTAAAATACAATGTAGATTGATCAGAAATATAGTAAAAAATTTGTAAAGATGATATGAAAATGACTTGAAGTTTGGGAAATATAGACCTGGGCTATGACAACATAGTCCCTTTTTCATTTCCAATCAGCCTTTCCCAATTCCAATTAACTTTCTATGTCATTCCCAGAATAATTTAGAATAATGGATAGGGTCATTCTCTTATTCACAAACATTTAATAAATCCCCATTTTATAGAGAGTAAAATTCAAAGCTGTTTAGCTAGACATTTGATGTCCTTCATCCTTCACTCCAACCAAACCAATCTAATTATTTTTTAACTCACCTGTGCTTTCCTACCACTGTGCATTCTCATGCCATTCCTCTGCTGTCAATTCCTTTCCCCTTAGTTCCTATTGCCATTCAGCCATTCCATTCTCAAATATTTATTGAGGGTCCATTACATGCCAGGCACTGTACTGTGGGCTAGGACTAAAATGGCTTTCTTTCTGAGCTTACACTTGTGGGGGAGCAGATACTAAGCATAATTCTTTAGTGACAATTGCAATAATAGTGTGATGTAAAAGTAAAGAGTGTTATAAAAACAAATAGGACACCTAATCTAGCTGAGATTTGAGAGGTGGTTTCAAAGATGATTTCTTGGAAAAAATGTCATTTAAGCTGAGATCTAAGTGATTAGTAGGCATTCGCTTAGTGAAGAAATGGACAGAGGAAGTAGTATGTGCAAAGGTGCAAAAATAACTCTCATATTTTTATTTTGCCATGAAGAAAATTAAGTATATGTTGTTTTCTCAATAATAATGTACTGGTCTGCTACATTACTTAAAAATTTGTCATGTAGCCCTAACTCAATGAATTTGTATTTATTTATTTAATTGGGGAATTGGGGGAGGGGAACAGTGTGTTGGGGAATTGGGGAAGGGGACCAGCCAAGTTGTCCTTCAGTCTTAGTTGTGGAGGGCACCAGTCGCCATCTGGCTGCCTGTCAGCAGCTCGTGGCCTCTAAATTCAAGGTGCTATGTTACAATCTTAGTTGCGGGCGGGCATAGCCACCATCCCATGCGGGAGTCGAACCAGCAGCCTTGTTAAAAACACCCACTCTATCCGCTGAGCAATTCAGGTGGCAGCTCAGCTCAAGGTGCCTAGTTCAGTCTTAGTTGCGGGCAGGCGTAGCCCACCATCGAACAGGCAGTCTTGTTGTTAGGAGCATGTGCTCTCACCAGCTGAGCCATCCTGCCACCTGTTGGCAGCTCAGCGGCAGCTCAGCTTGGGTGCAGTGTCACTGGCCCATGTGGGAATCGAACCGGCGGCCCTATTGCTCAGAGCTTGCGCTGTTAAGCTAACTCTTAACCAACTGAGCCACTCGGCCGGCCTGAATTTTTATTTTTAAAGCTACTCTTAAAAAAAAAAGACAATTGTAAATAATCAAATATTAGATCCAAGTCTTGAAACTATCCAGGGAATTTATATAGATGTCCTCTTTCTATATAGAAATATATGGAGATTTATGATGTATATTAATATATGTTTATAACTATATTATATATCATGTGTTTATACTTTATATCTATATTTAATATATATTTACACTATATATTATGTATCACGTTTATACTATATATGTATTATGGGTCATAATACAAATATATGATATAAATTGTGTAGATTTATATACAAGTGCCCTTGATAACATTTTGGCTTCTCTTTATTGCTCTAGTCAATAAGCCACTCACTAAGAGGGTCTGTTAGGTTCCAGGCACCCTCCTCTGTTGTTTACTTTTCTGTTATCAGTTTTCTGATCTGCTCTATGGTTGGCTCTTTGATATCAATAGGAAGGATACACAAAAGACTAAAATTGTTCATTTTTCCAAATAAGCAGAAATACCTTTTTTTTGGTAATTCTACAATGAATATTTTCATTTTTCAAATCTATAAAAGTCCATATAAACAGTACTGTATTAGCTAAGGTTTTTGGTTACATGCAGAGAAACCAACTGTGGCTATCTTCGGCAGAGAAGGAATGTAATCAGTATTTGAAGAATCTAAAGGAAGACTGAAGAATCAGGCTTGGAAATGGACAGAAACCTAACAGAGCAAGGTGGTAGGAAGGACTAGCCAAAGTCATGCTACAGGAGCATGTGTTAGGAAGCCATTACTGTATGACTTAACACTGCTATTACTGCCACCTTAAATAATTTTCTTACTGATAGCATCTTTGTGATACTAGCTGGAGTTCAAAGTCTAGGGGCCTGGCTAAGACCTTGTTCTGGCTGACAGGAAAGATCTTCCTTTGGCTTTTCCCTTTTGGCCTCCCACCAAGACTCACATAATAAGGGATTTGCCCCAAAGAAGGGGGTTTGGACTCAGGAAGACCCCTTAGGAAAAGGGACAGCTTTTCCTTCGCAAGTATCCATTAAAATATATTTCTTAACAATTATGTGTGATGACAGGTAGCTGTATGCTTCCTGAAACACAAGGTGAAATTGTTAAAGGAAGACATATGATTTGGAAGACATATGATTTTTGGAAGACATATGATTGTTTCTGCTTTAAGAAGAGTTGTACTTTATTAGATAAAAATGATTTTCATTCTTTTCAAAGTAAAACTATCTCAGATATCCCTCAATTGTATAATATAGGCATGACTTGAAATAGTAAATTATGTATTTTTCTAAGAAAAAGGATCATAGAAAGTAAAAGTGATTGCCAAATATACACATATATTTATTTTACAACATTTTCTTTGGTAGACAAAAACACTTTACATTTAAAATGTGTCCAAAATATTGCTATAATTTATAAGAATAGATAAAACCAAAATGAACAATAAACACACATATCCTAATTGCTTCAAAACATCTCAATGAAAAAAAATGTTCTTAAATTAAGACCAGAGCTGCTAATTCAGTTATGAAATATTTGCATTCTTACCAATTTCCCTTAGCTTATAATTTTTTTCATAGTACATTTCATGAATTATAAAACATGATGTATAAGAATTTTTTTTAGATATATTGCTATATGATTTTAGGGAAAAGAAATGTGGATTTGTATTAAAATTTATTTGGGGAATGTTTATTATATACATGGATGCTTTTGGCTAATGAGATCTTAACTATAATGTTAATGTTTCCATTATAACTGCAGGTTGTAATATGGAATATAGATCAAATACAGGCAAGTTTTAGAAAAGAAAATGTTCAGAGTCACAGCAGAACAGTTACAAGCATCAAATCTTCTAGAAGTTTCCTTAACCTACAAATTCATGAATGTATATTGCAATAGGCAGGAAAAAATAAGTAGTTATTACAGAATTCTTATCATTTCAGTAGTCAAAGTTAAACTTGTTCTGAGTTTTTCAGATCCTCTTTTCCAGGATTTTAGATGTTTGATATTTTAAAAGATTCATTCTTTCAGTAATCTGTAATGAGAAAGAGAGTTTTATAAACTTGGGCTGTTCTTGTTTCTCAGTGATTAAGAATTGACATGTAAAAACATATAGCAAGAAAAGAAAACTAAGTATAACCAAAGACCCCTTATCAAAACACTTCACACAGCATCATAGAATCTGCAGTTGTCTGTTTTTTCAAAATATCTGTCTTGGTTAAAAGTGGAAGTAATCTGGTAACCTACCTTGATTATAATGTTTGCTTGCTTTGATCTGGGATTTAGGCATCTTTGTCTTTTATGTGTTTTCATGGTGATACTGTTAAGGGAAGATCCAAAACAGTCTTAAATTTTGGATGGAAAAGCATAAGCAAAAAAAAAAAATCTATACACAAAAATGCCTCCAGCATTGTCATTTTTTAGCAAGTCCATTACTTACATCACTTCTGTTTTGTCACAGTAATTACTTGGGTAAATTACGGAGACTTTCTCAATATCTGCCACTCTCACTGCTTTTACTCCAGGGCCCACGCAAAGACAACGTCCCCCTTTGAACATTGGGAAACCTAGAATAGATCATAGCACCAGTTACTAATGGATCTGATTGCATCAGATGGCTATGGTTTATAATCCTGGTGAAGAATGTAAGCCAAGTTTTCATTAAGAATAAAGATATTAATTTGTCAAATAGCACTTGAGCTGCTGTTACTGGGAAACAAGTTTAAGTAAGATGTTAATGATTTCTCTCTTTAAATTTGTAAGCAAACCATTAAAGAATAAAGGAAAGCATGAAAGAAGTTTATTGGCAATCAAGCTTATTTGCCTCTTGCTTTTATGCTCAAAAATTTTACCAGGAAGTTAGTAACATTACCTCATAAAAATTTTCTTAACTGACATTTAAAACTATTGCTAAAGATTCTTGCCAGATTTTGTAGCCAAATAAAAAATTCCATGAAGCTTACCATCTGTAGTTTCGGCAATCATCTCTATCTAGTGCCTTAAACATTTCCTGCATTCTCTGCCAAAGCTGTAGTAACTTCCAATGTATGAGGTTTAATAAACATTTAATATGTTTTAGGATAAAAGTGGAAGAAAAGATATTTGAAGAATTAGAGAAGAAATTTATAGGCTGAGAAGTAAAAAGTACTGTATACCTTGAGCAATTGTAGCACAGAATATCACAGCCAAGACTATAGCCATGCCCTTCACGCTCATGTTTGTTGCTGCTGTTGCTGCTGCTTCAGCTTTGACACTCTTCTTGGAGAGAGTAGAAATGCTGCACATGGAAAAGAATTCTTAATTGGCATATATAGGGTATTTTATAGACCAGTGATCCTCTAAGGCGACAGGAATTTCCCTCCTTGAGTCATATTCCTTCCTTTCTTCCAAGAGTTTCTGTTTTGTTATCTAAGTATCACTATCCCTTCCTATTTGTTAGTGTCAAAAGTAATACTAATGTGAAAGCACTTTTACTATAAAGAGTAAAGAGCTGTATAAGAACAAGGTACACCCAGATGGGAACCAGCCTTCTTAAGAGAGCATTTCCTGGAAATGTATTTAATTATTGGACTACCGTGGGCAGTGAAATTCTGATTGCCATTCCTTCTTTCATTCAGGAAGCTTGTCTTCCTATTTTCAGTATTTTCAACCTCCATCCTTCATATAACTATAGAAAAGAACATTCTTTAAAAACCCAGTTTTTATAATTTTACTGTTCCTTCTAAGTCCAAACTCTTATTTATACAAGACCTACATTGTTTGACATCAAATGATTTTTACTTAACCTTATTTATATTTTTGCCGACTATAATTGCATGTCTAAAGAAGTCCCCCTATATACTTCTAAATTTATATCCATTTCTTTTTGTATGTTTATTTTTCCTTTATATATTTTTTAACATTCATTTAGTACATCAAGTTGTATGAGTTGTGGATTTAAAAAAAATGATCCTCTTTTCTCATGTGATGTTTTTACACCTTGGATTCTGATTTGATGTAACCCCTGTTTTATTTTTATTTATCTTTATCTTTTCCTCTTAAGCTTTCTAAGTCTACTCATTTTAAATGTGTCACTTGTAGACACTTAAGAAAATCATACCCAAGTGATTTGTTAATGGGTAAGTTTATTTACTGTATGATTAGTAACCTGAAAGCTTTTTAAATGCTTTCTTGCTATTTCATTTCTTTGGTTTCTTCCTAACTTTAAATATATTTTCTTTAACATTTTTCTTATGTGATTTGAAAGGAGTACATAATTTTACATTTTGCTAGTAATCTTTAAAAAAAATTTTTAGCTGAATCTTTCTAATTATTTACATCAGTAATGAAATCCCTTTGTAAGATGAGAAAATCACCATGACTTTCTTTCAAACATTTCCTCCTATTTCCTAGTTTTGTGGGTATAATCTGGGATTTATAGCTAGTTTACTATTTTCAGGTGATTATTTTATATTATTCAACTTCTCTTTTGAAAGTTATCATTTACATTTTATCCTGAAATCATGTATTTATTTAGACATATCCTACATTAAAATTTTTTTAACAACTGCTACCAGTCTTCAAAACCTCTTAGTCTTTGCTTTAATTAATCTCAAAGTTGCTGGAATATTTTTTTCTCTGTTTCTCATTCATTCATTCATTCAACATATGTAATTCAAGACTAATTTTTCTACAGGAAAATGGTTAAAGTAAAAGGATCCATTATTTTTTTCTTAATGTTGCTTTTCATTTTCTTAGTATTAGAAACACAGTAGGGCATTGTTGTTAACAGACAGGCTCTGGATCAAGCCTATATTAAAATCCATGCTCTGTTATTTATTAGCTGTGTAGTCCTGAGCAAGTTCCCTCAATTTTTTTAGCCTCAGTTTTCTCATTTACAGATAATATATTCTATTACAATATTTTTAATATAATTTATATATTTGTAATATACTTATATCGATAATATAAATGAGATAATGTACTTTTTTCATAGGAGCATTATAAGCTAAGTATTTTAAAAGTTAATGCATGTAAATCATTTAGAAGAGTGCCTAGCACTCAAAAGGCATTAATTGTTTTTTATTGCCATTTTTTATTAATTGCTATTTTATTATTAATTGCTATTATTATTATCTCTAATATTTTACAATGTTCTTTCCTAAATTGACAGACCATATCTAACTTATTTTGGGGTGTTTTTCAGCATTAACATAAGCATAACCATGTAATAAAAGATTGGATAATGTTGTTATAAGGTATGAAAACTACTTTAAATTATAATAATTGTAAATGTAAAAGTAACATACTAATCATGAAAATCACTTACAGAAGTACAATGCATAAATGTGTGGTTCACAAAATATAGACAAAGAATAGTGAATATTTCTACCTAACGTTTACTACCTAAAGTTGTGCTGTCAGGTAGTTTTGGTGTAAGACAATCTTTTAAACAGTGATTCTTAATTGCATTTTTTAAAAAGAAAAACTCTCTGGACACTTTTTAAATTTTTTATGCATAAACTAGGACTTGATTAATATTCTATGTCATACTATTCCAAATAGGCATAATTCACCTTTTCATAAAACATGAATAAACTCTGTCTTCCTTTTGCCTTTATGTGTGGAATTACTCTTTAGTTGGGTAGAAAACTTGTGGGTCACAATTTTCTCCTTCAGAACTCTGTGCATATTGTTTTATTGTCTTTTATTACTACAACTGTAGTACATCATTTTGTCAAAACATTAGAAACTAGTTTTTTCCCCCTTTGGATACACACACACATTTTTTACGTAACAATTTCCATATCAGACTATCAAGTCTGTATAGAGACTGTCAGGTCTCTAATTTTTCTGTGTATTGGTGTATTTCTAAATATTCTAGGAGGAAATAGGGGAGATGACAGAAGGAAATAACCCTCCCTCTTCCTGTGAGGAAGACCACCCAGTAGTCAGTCTATGGGGAGAGTGCTGCTGCTGCTGCTTGTTTGCATATGACCCCAGAAGAGAGGGCTGTCCCTACCCAGGTGAATGCGGCCTTGCCTGCTTTTCCTCAGAGCTGAATTGCAGTTTTGATGGTGAGGAAGCTTTATTTAGTTCTTCACTTCAAGTCCTCAGGTAATGATCCAAAATTATGCAGAGTTGGGAGAGGTTTTGTGTTTTAAGCTTTTCACCTCATTTTTTTGAACAATATAAAAAGTGAGCCTGATGAGGCTCTGGCAGATGCTAATATGGATACTCTCTCCTTCTTTCACACTGTCTCCCTCTTTACTGCCTCTTGCTCCCAGTGTCCCTGCCTTAAAGCTTATTGGAAAGCACCTCCCCTTTCTACTGTACAATAGTTCATTTGCTCATTCATTCATTTAACAAATATTTATTTTGGGTGACACATGTGTGGCACTCTTGAGTTGAAGATAGAGCAGTGAGCAAAACTAACCAACCTCCTTTTATGTCTTGCAAATTTTACAGCTTTCTAACTTATTATAGGAGACAGTCTGCCTGATTTCTGCTGGCTCTGTAGATGTGTGTCTTCAGGACTGTGGCTTGTTCTAGACTGAATACTTTCTATCATATGAGGAGGATTCATGTATTTCAGAGTATCCCCTCATCTAGTGAATTTGAGAGATCCCTCCTCTTTCTATTCATGTAATATGGTTCCCCTAGCATGGGATGCACTTTCCTCTCCTTTCCTGAATCCTTTCTTTCCTTTAAGTTGTGATATCTTCATGAAGCCTTCTTCAGTGCATAGTAATTTTTCCTGCTGCTGGTTTTATAGCATTTATTGTCTTGTCTAGCTTTATCCAGTACATTGTGAGCCACATATTTTATTTTAAATACCCTAGTAGCCACGTTTAGAAAGTAAAAAGGAACAGGTGAAATTAATTGTAATAATATATTTTATTTAATTCAAAATATGAAAAATTACCATTTCAATTTGTAATCATTATAAAAACATTAAATGACTTTTTTTTTTTTTTAGTACTAAGTCTTCAGATTGGAGAAGCAACATTTCAAATGCTCAGTAGCCATGTAGTTAACATATTGGACAGTGCAGATCTAATTATTCATTTGGCATTTAGCATATTATACTGCCTTGATACTCTACTTAATTTTAAATAAAAGTAGGGATGGGGAGGAGAGATAATGTGCATCTTTTTGTTTTGTTTTAGAAACTTTTCTAAGACTTCCTAGTCTTTTTGTTCTTTCTCTCTTCACTAAGGCATTATGTCTCATTGTTCTCCCTTTGATTAAGCAGGGCAGAGGTTAAACTGCATTCTGTGTCCTTTTAGTAGTGTTTGCTCCCCTTTTCTTTGTCTCTGGAATTGGACTATTCCAGGCTCACCCACTCAAACAAGTTACCCCTTGAATTTAAAGGAGACTCCCAGGAAACTAATCTAGTTTCTGTAATTAATCATCAAATACCCTTCCAGTTTAAAAACTCTGTCTGTGATTCATCTGCGGTTTTATTTATAATCCCAAATAATCCAATTATTGTAGAGTTTAAAAAATGTTTTCGAGTAGGAAGAGATTAATGCAAAACATTTAAAAATTTAATTCCCAACCTACAATTTACTAAACTCTGAAAAATATGTTGCCTGCAAAAAAGAAAAAAGTAATACAAGGATATTTTGTCCAGTTAAATTAGTTAGTAAAAAGTGGGTTAGAAATGGAACATTTCTATTTATTATAAATCAGTATAACATAACAGAATCCTGTTGTTTTGTGTTTATAGAAGGGAAGAGGTTGTTATACATATGAAAGCACCTAAAATAATGTGAATAGACCGAACAAGACTGAGGTAGAATCCTTAACTCTTAAAAGTACAGTAATACAGTACCTGATGCTCTTTTATGAAGGGATTAAGGCATTTAGGGAGCTGCCAATGGATTTTTTTCAGGAACCCTTAATGGAATACTACTTCTGTGATTGTCTTATAACATTATTTAAATACTCTTCCCAGAAATCAGACAAATCTTGCAGGATATATCCAAGACAGCCATTAGGCACTGGGCAAGGCTATATTTTTTTCCCCCAAAGACTTGGAAAAAGCTGTAAAAACAATTTAAAAAAATTATTAGGGCATTAAGGAATAGGGCATATTTTATTTCTATTTGGAAGCATTCCAAAGAGACAGTAAGTTTTTTTGTTTTTGTTTTTGTTTTTTTAAAGATTTTATTGGGGAATTTGGGGAGGGGAACAGCACTGGGGAATCGGGGAAGGGGAAGAGACAAGTTGCTGTCCTTTTGTTCTTTAGTCTAGTTGTGGAGGATGTTGCTTCACTAGCCCATGTTGTTATTATCATTGCGGTCTTCCCGGGTGAGGCAGTC